GTCGCTTCGCAAACAAAGAGCTTCTGTTTTTGGGTCACGTAATTAGCAAGATGGAAGTGCGCCCAGGCCCACAGAAAACAGCTGCCATCGCCGCCTTCCCGCCACAACAAGAAATCTGCACACGACTTTCTTGTCGTGCGCCGATTTCTCGGCCTGTGCACCTATTACAGATGCCTTGTCAAGAACTTTTTACAGATCGCCGAGCCACTAACTCCGCTCACAAAGACCAGCGTCGCTTTTAAGTGGCGAACGGCGCAAATTCAAGCATTTCAGAAACTGAAACGATGCCTGGAGACCCCTCCGATACTTACACATTTAGAAGAATACCCCGATACAGAATTCCACAACGATGCAAGCAGCGTAGGCCTCGGTGTCGTTCTTGTGCAGAAGACTAAAGGAGAACAACAGGTTATCAGTTACGCTAGCCGGTCGCTATCGAAGGCAGAAAGCAACTATTCAACAACAGAAAAAGAGTGCCTTGCCATCATCTGGGCTACCTTCAAGTTTCGCCCATACCTCTACGACAGGCCTTTCAAAGTTGTGAGCGACCACCACACCCTCTGTTGACCAGCTAACTTGAAGGACCCTTCAGGCCGCCTTGCATGATGGAGTCTGCGACTTCAGGAATTCGACGTTACTGTCTTTTGCAAGTCCGGACAAAAGCATTCTGACGCCGATTGCCTGTCTCGTGCTCCTGTTGAACCACTACCAAAGAATGACAAGGACACTGGCGACTTCTTAGGAACATTAAGCATCAATGACTTCTCTAAATGACAGAGAGCCGACCCTGAAATCAAGGGAAATCAAGGGCCTTGTCGAATACCTCGAGGGCAAAGCTGCCGTGGTTTCACGGGTATTCAAGCGAGGACTGTCATCGTTTTTCTTGCAAAAAGGCATCCTCACCGAGAAAAACTTCTCGCCACATCGAGCCAACTACCTCATAGTAGTACCTTCGGCATTATGTCCAGAAGTTCTGGATGCTCTGCATGATGACCCGACGGCTGGATACCTTGGGTTTTCCCGTACGCTGGCGAAAATACAAGAACAGTACTACTGACCTTGCCTCACTACTGATGAAACCCACTATGTAAAAACCTACCCAGACTGTCAACGACGCCAGACACCGCCGACAAGGCCAGCAGTCTTTCTTCAGCCGATCAAACCACTTCGCCGACCGTTTCAACAAATCGGGATGGACCCACAGGGGCCGTTTCGGACGTCAACTTTGGGAAACAAATGGATTGTTGGAGCTACTGACTACGTCACCGGCTATGCCGAAACAAAGGCCCTACTCAAAGATAGTTCCGAAGATGTAGCCAAGTTCTTTGTTGAGAACATTCTCCTTCGTCATGGCGTGCCAGAGGTTCTCATCACCAATAGAGGTATGAGCTTTACTGCTGATTTGACTCGGGCGGTCTTGATAACAAGCCAGACAAGCCACCACCGCCTACCCCCAACAGACAAATGGTCTCACTGAGTGGCGAAACAAGACAATCCCCGACATGCTGGTCATGTACGTCAACATCGAACACAAGACGTGGGACACCATCCTTCCGTATCTGACCTTCGCTTACAACACGGAAGTGTAAGAGACAACGCAGATGCCCCCGAGCAAGTTGGCCTACGGGAGGAACTCACCAAAGACGCTCGACGCAATGCTGCTTAATGCCGCTGACGAAGAAAACCTCGGCGTCACCCTCTATCTTGAAGCTTGTCAACTCGCTTGTCTGCACATCACAAATCAGCAGATGATTGACCACCGCTGTTACAATCTTCGGTGACGCTTCATGGAATACTGGCCTGGTGAACGTGTTTGGGTATGGACCCCAACACGCCGCAAGGACTCAGTGAAAAACTTCTGTGACCGCACTTCGGACTATACAGGGTAGTACGATATCTCGGCCCACTCGACTATGAGGTTGTCCCCGACGACGAAAACTCTCGATGGCGCCAATTGTGACCTGAAGTCGTCCATGTCACGCGCCTCAAGCCGTTTCATGCACGATAATGAACTGAAAGAGTGTATCTTGTTGTTATTATTGTTGTATCGTGCCTTATCATTTATACTTTTTTGAATCATTATTGTACTTTCATCCTCTGTTAACCATCGGGACAATACCTTCTTTAAGACTGGGGCAATGCACGTTCGTTCCTCAAGTTTTCTTATCACCCAGTAACACTGTACGTAATTCTCAGCGGAAACGACGCCTGCACTGTTCGAGAAGCTTTGGGATTGTAGTAATCATTTAAATAAGATTACGCCCACTTCGCAAAGATTACAGATTATTCTGGAACCTATGCGGCCCCTAGCGATAACGCTAGAATATTCTACGACACAAGTATAAATGCTGAAGTGCATCATGCTTCTCAGTTTTTCATCAACGGCCGACGTCATGCTCGACGCTATCAGTGCCTTGCTGTAGTCGGACATTTTTTTTACGAGGCCACAAGTTCGGCCAAATAAAAAGTTTAAACTGAACGTCCAGTGTGCTTCCTTCGTTCACGTCACGATCCCGTGACAATATGTTATGTCTTAATATTTACTGTACTTAGAGCATATAAGCCAGCATGACAAGCTTTATGTGTCAAAAACAATGAATAAATGTGAGGGTGATATGTTCATTTAACCTGTAAGTGGCGTTTCGCAGCAGTGCGAATTTTCAACAAATCGGTGTTTTCACGGCTTAGCAGCCCTCCACTGCAGTGAAACCGCCTTAGTGGGAGTTACACAGGCACTAATGTACAACAATTTGTTCCTTTCGAATACATTAAAGTTTTCAATATTTCGATTTGAATACAAGCAAATTACAATAATGTGATGTTCGTTTGAATATTGGAAGCATTCGAATATGCACACAAGCCTATTAATAGGATTGAGATATAAATTAAGGATTCTACATGAGAACAAGTATGTTTCACAACGACTAGATCTTGCTAATAAGGTAAAGGAAATAAGCTGCCGGACTGACGCATTTCACATGTCATTTTTCCTCAGGATGATAAGCCAATGAAATAGGTTGTCTCCTAAAGTTGCAGAAATTACTTCAGATGAAGTATATTCACAATGGTGCGAGTCACTGCTGGGTCTCCAGCAGTGCACTCGCACCATTAAGTAAGGCCACACTGTACTCAGAATCTCCTTTATATTGTGTATATCTTAAGTATCACTTAAAAACTTGTAAGTGAATTGCGTTTACTGTAATGTTGATGTGTTGGAATCTGTATTTGTCTAGTGTAATATTGTATCCCCACCCACCCCTGTAATGCCATTAGGTGCTGTGGGTACTATGATAAATAAATAAATGAATAAATAAATAAGCTGCTTCACAACAAAAGAACGACCAAGGATAAGAACGAAACCATGATTAGAATTGTTTGTGGAGCAGCACATGAATATGATATGAAGGCAACCACTTCAAAGAATGAAGGAGAATTATCTTATTGTCAACACTGACAAGCAACAGCACACCTATTGTCGTACAAAACTACGAAATGATCAATGTTGAGTGAACCGTTGGTTTTCCTAAAACTAAAAAAATGACAGGCACATGAAGGCCAACTCTGCAGAAAGTGAGGTGATTATTATCACTACCAGTTAACTAAGATTGAATCATGAACTTTCCAGTGAATGCAGTAGCGGGCATCTCTGTATTTAAAAGTTGAGGCCATTTAGCTTCTACTCGAGAAGATATCTTGATTTCTGGGGTTTTACGAGCCAGAACAACGATTTTGAAGCACGCTCTAATGGATGGCTCCAGATAATTTGATCACCTCGGGCTTTATACCTATCTTTAAGAACACCAGCTTGCAACATTTTCACTTCCATAATAATGTGATTTCCACGGTCGGGATTTAAAACACACTATGCAAATGAGCTGCTAAGCACCGTGACTGGCTGTGAAGTTACTCCGTTATGCGACGTGCAGTCAGTTCTTGATATCAACAGCTGGAAGTTAAACGGTAGTTGCTGTAGCAGCATTGCTGCCGAAAAGGGAAATGAAACTGAAGAAAGCAGGTGCATGGCTCAAGGTACGAGCAACATGTGCAATGGTTTCTGCCAATGATAATGGGCTGTCAGCCAGAGCTTTCTGTCTAGTAAACATTTCTATTAACTGGGACTGCCTTCATTCACACCACTAATTATTGTAAGATTAAATTTTGCATGCAAGTGCACATCAGGGAGCAGCTTTCTGTCAGTCCTCACTGTCTTGCAAGTGCAATCATGTTAACTTTGCCCCCAACAAACTGCTCTTCCTTGTTCCTCAGTGGTCTTCTTGAAGCAGACATGAAACAATCATCAAAAGAACAAGCTTTTGAAGCAGCAGAGAGGAGGTACAATTTGCATGCAACTGGAACTGTGATTGTTCAAGGTATAGCGCATCCAGGACGGGACAGAGAAGAAAACACAAAACACATACAGAACACATACTTTCTTCTCTGTCCCGTCCTGGATGCGCTTTACCTCGAACAACATGAATAACCAACAAGCCCGCCGTGCAACCTTAGTGTAACTGTGAGATCAGACTTGTCAGGGACATCTTCGATTTCATTTGGCCAAAGAATGCTGCCTCGTGAGAAATCATTCTAGGCCTGTCAGATAACAGGTGCACTATGGTAAACCCGTTCTATAGTCGGTGACAGCCTAAAATAAATGTAGGCTCTGCCCACGAGGCTGCATTGTCCTTGTTTTTCATGCTTCTGTCGTGTTGCTACTTCCAGCTCTGGAAACAGCGAAACGTAATAAAGCGGTGCGAAACACTCTGCCCTGCAACCGCTTCAGCACATGTCAAATGTGGCACAATCACAAACTGCATCGCATGGCGACTGGCGAGTGTGACACTGTGGCGAACATGTCAATAACAGTTATTGGTTGGTCCTAACTATCATGTTACAGCAAAGGGCACCTCTAGTTGGACGTGCTGAACACAAATGAATTAGTGGTACACTTTACTTCTTCATCTTAGCTTGATAATAACTACGTACAGTTTGCGAGAGCTCACCTGCAGTCAAAGTGTTCGAAGATGCGACGCATGATGTCCTTGAGGGCCGTTTCCTGGGCCTCTTCGGCGGAAACCAGCTCTGCTGCAAGTCGCTTCACGTCCTCAGTGTAGTAGCGCCTGTCATATAATGCGACGCCAATTCTGAATCTATTCTCTTGGAGTGACAAGTTATGATGGTTATAGTAAGTACGAGCAGTGCCCAAAGGAACTTCTTTGTGGGCGAGCTGGTAAAGCAGCATTGCTCAAGTCACTTATGAAAAAGGTGGGATAAGAGAGAACAAAGTGAAGTGGCGAACTTCGGCCCTTCACTTTCTCCTCTTCTGCCTCCCCTTTTTTATGAGAAGTACTTTGCGCCAAAGCCAAGTGTGCCTACGCAATACTAGTAGCATCTATCATGAATTTGGTTGATTGTGAGTGATGGGTTCACACCAAACTATGTTAATGGCACAACACATTTATTAAGCACACGCACAGCACTCTAGCATGTTAAAAATGTACAAAACAAATACCAATAACAACTCAGCCTCGACATGCACACAAACCACACTAAAGTCTCAGCCATCCTAAACTAAGTCAGGCAACCCTATCTTTAGTGCTGCTTATAGTTCAAGCTATTCGAGCCAACTTTACTTGGCAAAGCTGATAGGTTCCTGGCCAAAGTTCATGATTGGTTCTCGCTGAGTCTTCGTCCATCGTCATTGGATGACATCGTCGCTGACATGGTGAAGGCTTCCGAGAATAGGCCTAGTGGCTTTCGGCGATACCCGATGCTACGAGCCAACATGGCCCACTGGGGCTGTATTCGGCCGCATGCTTTGAAGGAGGCCTGAGCCAGGAATGTTGAAGATTGCCTTGCGCAGCTGCTGTGTCCTGAGCAGCCTCAATCGAACTAGGTTGAGGTCTCTGGTCATTTCTCGAGACACCCATGTCACCCTCTTCAGAGTCAAAGCCCTCACACTTTCATCGCCAGTGCATCTGCTGGAGACATAACACTTTTTAAAATAAACTAGAGGAGACTTTGGTGCTGCGATCGTTCAGTGACCATGACAATGATGGCTAGTACATGAATTTGCTAGTCCTCGTGCTTGTGGGCTTCAAACGCACTTGCGGCTTTGTTTATTGCAGTGTTTTGGTTTTGTTTTGAACGAAAAAACAAAATGTTGTGAACTTCGTGACCCGATTTAAAATGGTGAGCCTAAATGATTAAGGTAGTGAATTGCAACTGCCGAACATTTGCTGACTGTTGTTTCATGGCAAAGCGGCTCTATACCATGCGAAGCTAAACGGAGCAGAAAGTACGAAGATTCGGCAAATCTATGTACTACCCATCACAGCCAAGTTTGGGGTGTGCCCAATATGCACGGAAATAAAAAAATCTGGTTTCTCGCAACCAAACTGGGGGTGCGTCTATTATGCGAGTAAATATGGTATTGTATGAAACTCTATGCACTGAATAATCCCAATGCTTCACCCACTCATCATCATTCATTTCGTAATGATGCAGTGATCTTTATTTTATCTTACGGCTTGGTTAACATGCTTCAAATTTTTAGAATCTTTCAAGCGCACACTTGAGCCCCTTCACAACTTGATCATCTTTTTGATTCTGAAGGGCTTGTGTCAACATCTTTCGCAGCCAAGATAGCCTGCACAATCGATTGCTACGAACATGGCTACCATATTTATTCACATAATTTTTGCACTTCCTTTCGTGGAACCCGATTAAAAGTTGGGGGTGCGAAAATTATGCAAGGAAAGAGGAAAAAAAAAAATGAAGTGGCTGCAAATCAGGATTTTGATGCTAGGAACTCACTACAAGCTTTGAGAAGTACTAATCAAGAATTAATAATAAAACCGCAAGTTCAACACAAGGCATGATATATTTGCGACTCCAAAGTTGAACGCAAATAGTAGAATTTTGAAATACTGTACGCAAAGCTAGCAGGCATTGCGTTAGAATTTGTCACTTAACAAAAACCCACAATGTCGACGTTGGGCAAACACGGAATCGTCCCTATAACCTTCTGACAAAATAAAGTTTTGCCATCAATTCCACCCTAAGCCACACAGAAGGCCCAGCGCGTCCTGGTGGCTTTCAGCTGCCCATGCTGCCATCACCAATAGCGAACATAAAGTTCGTCAATTCCAAAGTGCCCACTGGCAGCCCTGTTGCTTTTGTTTAGTACATGATCAATCACTTTCAACTTCAAAGCAGCCTTGTAGGTTCCGTATCGCCCCATGGTGTAACCACAGAAAGGACACAACAACCGCAATGCGCGCTTGCCACTTTGGCTTGGCATGGCTAGGATCAGGGCTTCATTAGTTACTATTACACGTAACGTTTAACAGATGGCGCAAGGCTGTCGCACGCTACTATCATCATTAGTGGTGCGATAATTACCCCCAGAAAAAAAATTGTAGTATTGTTGGGCAAAGTGGGGTGTGCGAGAAATATGCAAGTGCGAGAATTACGTGAATAAATATGGTATATCATATGCAAAATATCAACAATTAAAATAGCTGGGAAGGTATTTAACATGATTTTTAAAGTTTGCGTGTGCAATCAAGCAAGGAAATCCCCGGTAACTCCCTTACGCGCTACAATACAAGTTGTGATGGCTTTTCTTTTAGCCGCATTCGTTCCAGCAGATTACCAGTCAGCAACTGTTCGCAAGTCCAAGGCCGCAGTGCTGTCTCGTTTCATGTTCGAACAGACTTCTTGATGCATACTGTGCAGAGATAAAGAAAGATAGGGAGGTTAACCAGAAGAGGAGTCCTGTTTGCTACCCTGTACTTGGGAAGCAGAAAAAGGAGTGTAAAAAATGAAAGAGAAGAAGAGTTGGTGACAGAAAAAAGATAATGTAGTGACTGGAGCACTATTCAAGCACTAAAAAGCAACGTTGTCCGCGAACAGTCACAGTCTGTCTCTAAGTCCGATTGCTTACAGGAACCACAACAACACTCTCAGAGCAGTTCGTGATGTAGACCGGGCAGGCCAGGGCCCCAGGATTTTTTTCTCTGTCAGGAGGTGGTTGTTTAGCTGGCCTAGTGAGGTTGCTCTTTCGCAGTTGAAGTGGGTGCAATCAAAGAGAATGTGCACGGCTGTTTCGCTGCACCCGCCAACTTCACATGAAGGGCTGACAGTCAGTCAGTCACAGACGGGCCAGCAAGGCAGTGTCACGTTGTGATATGCTGAGCAGCAGATGTAACTGGAGGTCAGGGTCCAAAGTATATAGTCGTGCACTTGTGAATGTCGATGAATGCCACAAGTTACACGTTAGACGACGGGCTAGCACAAGAAGTTTCTTTGTGGCGTCGGATCTTGAAAGGGGAGTGTAGACACTGCTGACACCGTCATAGGCAGATCGGGCAGCAGTGTCCGCTTGTTCAATGTTCTGAACGCCACAAGCCACTGCAATAGGAATTCGTGCCCTTTTTCAATTGTATCATGGCGAACTTGCCTGATTTTCGCTATGAGATGCTCATGGAAGCATAATGTAAAGCGAATAGTAAACTTCGGAGGGTTGCTTTGCTATGGCAACAGAGCTCACGAATTAGGTGCCTGCTCTATAATAAACTGAAAAGTGGCACAGAGGGTTACAATTTTAGCTGGTGTAGTTGAAGTGGCATGTAACAATTTCAGTTGTACTGTAATAAATCTTGCTGGAATTATTTTGGCGGCAGTTGAGCTTGTAGCCATAACCAGAGTCCTTCAATGCTTTTCTGGTCACGAAACTCCGCCGTCACTCTATGGGAGAGCTTCATACGCTGCCCAAAACTGCCGCGATGCGGCGTCACTGCGCCACAGAGGGCATCGTTCGGGCTGCTCGCGTACTGAAACAGACAGAAACGCGTGCGCACAGCGAGACAAACTGGTGGAAGAAGCGTGCGTGCGTGTCCGAGTTAGCCAAAATGTTGTGAGACGACGATGCCTAACACGTGTTGCGTGCCAGGGTGCCGTTCCGGCTACAGAGGAACGACCGAGAAGGTGTCGTTGTTTTCTTTTCCACCTGACAAGGACCAGCGCGAGAAATAGAAACGGGCCATACCGCGGCAGGAAAGTGGCGACTTCAACTTTGAGTCCAAATAAACACGTGTGTGTGCGAAGCATTTCGACGCCTCGGACATTGTCACTACTTATGATTTCAATATCAACGGCGACGCCGTGTCCCTGGAGCGCGACAAGCCAACGCTGAAGGCTGACGCTGTCCCAAGTATTTTTGGTGGCCTTCCTTAGTATCTCACGAAGCGTAAACCTCGACCCCGCTCATCGACAAATCGATCACCGCGCAAACGAGCACGTGAGTCGTCGTGCGAGACGGAGGAGCAACGAGCATCGCCGACGACCTGTTCAGACCGCACCGATGCTGCATCAGTGAATGAAGGTATGTAAGCGCTAGGCCAGATTACATCCGTGTCGTCGTGTATGAGGGTATCGTCTGAGCCTGTAAATTTGAAACTGCATGACTTGTTTTTCTTCACTCCTTTTCTTCTTCCTTTTTTTCTTTTTTTAGCAGATGTGGCACTGACCAGTGAAACGGTCGAAACCTACCACACGGACACAGCTTGTCAGACAGACCGCTTGGTTGACTGCGCCAGCTGTGCAGCAGTGCAAAAGTTGAGGTGCCAACTTCGAGCTGCGAAGCAGCAGCTTCGGCAATGCCAAACAAAACTCGCCGAGTTCCGAAAGAAGACTGCCAAGTACGAACGACAACAGCAGAGCCTTCAAAGACTTTCCGATCGCGAGAAACTGATTATTGATCAGTGCGTGATGAAGGCAAACGCGAAGTCTGCAAGAGCCGTACGGTAAGCTTCAAGCACTACTTAACGAATTTGGTTTACGTGTAAAGGCGATGGAATATTCACGTGGTAATTTTAGATATTCACCAAATTAAAAGCTACATATCCGTTGTTTTCTGAGCAAGTGTCGGCTCCATTCAAAATCAGCTAAGCGTTCAAAACTACCATGAAATACGTTTTCTGCTTGAGTCCACCTTTACTGCGCTGACTCTAATACTTTAAATCATGAAACAATGATTTTCGTCCATATAAAAAAATGTGCCCTTTTTACTACTACGAGTGGCTTATTCACACCCTCATAACCATGTTATCGTGATGTGTTGATCTTTTTTTCGCACCTTACTGCTATTGTTTTGAGCACGTTTATAAACAGACAGTGAATGATTGTTCTTATGCGCAGTTTCGTTGAAAACTTAGAGATCCAATGTGCACTTATTTTCTCTATTAATTGTTCTGGATTGAGAATGCACCATAGATCTGTGTCATTTATAGTGGCCTGCTCTCATTATGAAGGTTTTGGCCTGCATGTTGATCAGGTTTCCACTGTGTACACAGTGCAATGGGCATGTTCACATTACCCCTTGGCATGCAGTTACACTTGGTTAACAGCAATGTGTCTTTATGCTTGATAGCATTATGGAAGCACTGTGCTAGCATGTTTGTGCATGTGAATGAGATTTGCACCCTTTCCTTACCAGGTATAAGAAAGACTGGTTATATGACTGCCTGCTTTTGCAAACGAAGTCCACATCTGTGTATACATATCTCCAAGAGAACAACTTTCTACCCTTGCCAAATCCACGCACACTCTACTGCTATATGAAGAGCTTGAAAGCAAATTTTGGCTTTGATGCGCATGTATTTACTGTGCTCAAGGAAAAGCTGCTCACTTCCCCTGAAAGTGAACGACGAGGTTTGAAAGCACATTACTTAACCTGAATGCTGTGTGGTTTTGCCTTTCTGAAGTGATAGAAATTAATTTTTTTTCTTTCAGGTGTGCTCATGTTCGACGAAATGAGTGTCAGGAAAAGTTTGCACGTCCGAGAGTCTGACATGAAAGTCGTTGGTAAGGTTGACTTTGGAGAACATACCAGGCCAGCAGACCGTGAAAAGGATGCTGATCATGTTTTGGTCTTCCTGTTTCGACCCTTTCTGGGGGGATGGTCGCAGACTGTGGGTACCTTTTGTGCATCAAGTGCTGCCCCGGGATCAATACTTGCAAAGGTTGTGCTTCAGTGCATTGTACACTTGTGTAATGCTGGCGCAGTTATAGATGCTGTGACATGTGATAATTCAACTACCAATCGGTGTGCCTTGAGGTCCTTAGGTAAGTGTTTAACACACAAGCTCTGCTGCAGACTATCTGGAAAGGTATAATTTATTAGTTGCTCATTTTTTTCAGGAATTCGTGGTGACATGAAAGACCAGCAGGTGTCGTTTCAGCACCCATGCGACCCCTCTAAGGTTATCTATGCTATCATTGATCCACCACACATATTTAAATGTATTAGAAATAACCTGCAGAAAGTTGGGAAGTTTTTGGTAAGTGAAATAATTACTGTTACTGTGATATAGTCACTCATATGATCTCATCTCGAGTGACATTCTGACATTCCTTCTTTCTACAGCTGCCTCAAGGTCGGGAAGTGTATCATGATCATTATGCAGCACTTCTAGAGTATGAAGAGCAACAGTCAGGGCTGCGTGCTGTACCAAAGCTGACGAGGGCACATATATACCCAAACGCTTTTCAGAAAATGAGCGTCAAACTTGCTGTTCGAGTAAGGCGCCCAACACTCAAGTGCACTTAGAAAACAAAAAAAAAAATGACCTTTTTGATGTGACTCACAGTGAAATGCAATACAAAAAATTTCTTTTCAGCTCTTCAGTGAATCCACAGCTACAGCCATGATATTTTACAGTGAGCAGGAATCATGCAAAAAGCTTCACGGGTCTGCGGGAACATCTGAATTCATCAGACAAATGAACAGATTGTTTGACTGCTTGAACTCCCGCAGGCCTGAACACGTGCAGTACAGTGAAGCTGAGCATGTTGACGTAAGAATTATTACTTTGCTCTTGCACACATTTCTGATCTCAGGCTAAATTCTTTCTTACTTTATAGACACTGAAAGAGGGAATCTCATGGTTGGACAGGTGCTGCAAATACATCGAAAGTCTGCCAAAGCAAAGGCAGGTCTGCTTTTTAAGCAAGCCCACCTGTGAGGCGCTGAGAATAACTTTGCTCAGCACAATATCACTGGTTGAAAACCTCCTTGCCTCAGGGTTTCGCTACGTACTGGTGGGAAAGTTTGGACAGGACCCATTAGAGGTAAGCATGTGCACGTTCTCGCTTTATAGTTAAATAGTAATCCTTATTTTTTCTTTCGGAGATTTTTCGGCATTATCAGGCACGTGGCTGGTGACGGAGGACAACCAACAGTCCAGCAATTTCTGTTCATTTATAGAATGCTCTCAGTCAGAAATCTTGTCCAGCCGCCTCAGCGAGCATCAGTTGTAGGAGACGGCCCACAACTCCTCCTGAAGCTCCAAGACCTATTCCAGAAGGAAAAACCTGCTGCCTGTCACGTGAGCAAGAATATATTAACAGGGGTTGAAAGGGTAGAAATCTGAGCCAGATGGTAAGAATTCGTCAGGGAAAACAAAATGAAAAAAAAAAAAGTGCAGGCAAAGAAGAACACAGTACAAACGCTTTGCGGAGCGATATCTCCTGAATAGAATGAAACTGATCAAAGCGTATTAGTTCTTTAACTAAGTTTTCAGGATAGCTTTTAGGCTGCATGCATTTAGGTGTGAATTTTCTCATTTCTAGCCACACTAAGCTGTATGAGCATTACATATGTGCCAGGGGACTGTGCAGTGCAGGCAGTATCAAAGATTTTGCAGCCATTAATTTGGAGAAGTCGAGCTGATTTCTGATAAAGCCTGGATTTCGTCATACAAAAGGTGTAAAGCAATACTAGGCATTCAGTACATCTTTTTCGTTAGGTGCACTTTCTATGTTCAGCACACCAGCAATACAGTGTTTGCATTTCAGGCGGACTGTTTGGCTATTCTCTTTGATAAAGTACTTTTGGAGCCAGGAGAAACTGTGGAGCAGGCTTCACTTTTGCAACATCAGCAGTCTCCTAAGGAGAAGATCTTGGACTACCTCGCTGGATACGTTGCAAAGAAGTTTTCCTCGCTGAGATGCTCAAGCTGCGTAGAAAGTCTGAGGAGTTCAGAACGACCGGCAACTGGCCTGATTCTTGTTAAGTCTAAAGGTTTTCTCCTTGTGCCCTCCAGCCAGCTCGTCACACTCCTTCAAATTGTGGAGGATCACATGGAAGCGCACACAGTTGAAAAAACTGCTTGTTCTGGTGAGTACATGAATATTGTGGAGGATGTTTTGATGGACCCTCGGACTGCTTCAGCTGCTGTCGGTTGCAAGTCACATTTTGTGAGCACGACTGCAGAAGTTGTTCAGTTTTTTCTCAAGGTGCGTTTGCATTTTTTTACGAGAGAAAGAAACAAACAAACAGATGCAAGCGAAAGGGTGCGCTTCATGTCCAGCAGAGGGTGGTAAAAAACCAAACACTCAAAGGTAACTCTGCACCCAATCCATATCTCACATATGTTGCTGTCCATTCTTCACGTTTTTTAATTAGCTTTTCATGAACTGTGCACTGGTGTTCTGTGTATGTGGTTTGTTTTAAATAAAATTAATAAATGGTTGTGCTTGCATATTGCTTTCGCACAGGCACCTTGTATGTATTTTTCTTGTTGAATTATTTTTTTCCTTCTGACACTGACAACAATATTAGCATCGATGATTGGAATATCTTAACCCCTCGTATATAGTCGGCCATTAGAAGAATCAAAATAACTTCTTGTGTGTTTTTGTCGAAATCACGAGCGGCTTAAGTTACTGGTTTACTGTCTCTTCTATATGAGACTGCTTATAAAACAATGGCCTCATTACAATACACTGTCAACTGTGTTCGACCTTACTTTTCACGTTCGTCATGATCATAAACTAAACGTCGCACCGGTTGACTGATGGGGTTTTACGTCCCAAAACCAGCTGTGATTATGACAGACGCCCTGTGGTGGAGGGCTCCGGAACGAATTTGACCACTTCAACGTGTACCAAACTCCAAGTACACGGGCCTCAACATTTCGCCTCAACCAAAATGCAGCCGCCGCGGCCGGGATTAGATCTCGCAACCTTCGGATCTGTAGCCGGGTGCCATAACCGCTAGAACACCGTGGCGGGGCAACACGCCGCACCGAAGACTGCTATGAGGTTAGTATTGCTGGCATTTAAGGACTCTGATATTACATATATTGTACCTAAGGCTCGTAGAGGGATTTAATCGTTCGGTCCAGAAATTTGAAGCGCATAGAACAGGTGTTTTTTTTTTTTTTTCTTGTCATGAAAAGAAGGCATTCTACGGAAGCATTTCTTGCAGTAATGGTTTAATTGTTTGGGTTTTCTGTTGCGAATAAAATGACACCAGGAGTCTGATAATGTTCACAGTTTAATAGAAATTGAGCGGCCGTGCCGTGCGAACCATCTGGCCTTATGCGAAACTTTGCGCAGTCGAGAGATTTCGCTCACTTCCGGGCGAATGGACGTGTAACAACTCGTATGTTCACCTCTGTTTACATGTGGCACAGCAACTGCGTTATTGCGAATGTACAGTGTCTGATTTCAGGCAAATTTTGAAAAGCTGGACCAGTTGCAGTATTGCGACGAACGAGCGGCGCTCCCCCGACCCTGACGGCTGCATTTCGACGAGGCGAAACGCAAGAGCAGAAAAAAAGGCGTGCACTTTGATTTACATGCATATAAAAACAACCCCAGCTGTTAAACATTAATCAAGAATCCCCCACTACGACGTGTATCAAAATCATATCGTCGTTATGGTGCGGCAAACCCCGAATTTTTGTCATTTTCGACTGCGACTGCCGCGAGCTGCTTGTCCAGAGCTGTTAGTTTTTTTTCTCCCGGGTGCTCATTTCAAGGCAGACGGCGCGTTCACGCAGTCACCGACGCATGCTGAATGTTCCAAGTAAATGAGAAAAAGTGAAACGACTTTTGCAGAAGTTTAGAAAGCTTGGAAATCAAAGCAGACCAACACACTACCGCAGCGGTAGCGGACGGCAGCATGCCCTCACGAGCACAGCTGCGCCCCTAGCGGCCAGTGCTGGCTCCATATGAAGCTGAGGCGGCACTTTCGTGACCAGAAAAGCATTGAAGGACTCTGCCATAACTGAACCGTCCGTGTGAATATGGGTGGGTGTGAGCACTGTTCGCCTCGAATAAATACAGCAATGCAGCCTGTATAGGTGCAAATGATGGCATTCTTGCCTTCTTTGTAACACCTGACACGTTAAGGCGCACTTTAGGCCGATGTAATGCCTGCCAAGTTCAAGAATTCTGAATCCGGGAGATTTCTGCAACAGGTAGGGGAGGGGGTTGCCACGCTGAATTATTTTCCACCATTTCTTTTGCTACACAAGAAAACAACACAAATACATCGCGAATAACATGAAGGGGAAAAGAGTCTCAATTGCAAGCTGTAGAGGTCTCATAATGGCTTGGAGTGGCCGAACAAGGGTAGGGTTTCCCACTAAGGTGAGAGTCTCAAAGTGGGAGCGCAAATAATCCCAAAATTTCTCATAATCAAAACAACTAGAAAAATCTATTTCCGTCATAATAACTCGCGTATGTCTCTGGGACATGCGTAAACGGACAGGACGGCGCAGCTCACTGCCACAAGAGCGCAGGTCGAAGCTTTTCTCACTACTAGATTATTTTGACAAGAATGCCAAAACACTTCAGCCCTTTTTACGTCTTTACTGCCTTTAACCGCTGCATTAGCCGCATGCCTCTCGGAGGTCGTTGATCACTATCGTGTCGCCGAAACCACGGTTTGGTGTGCGACAGTTGTGGCAAACAGTAGTTCCGTTTTTGACCCGCGTGCACTGTCTGCACACGTACGTTTAAAACTAAGCTGTTTTATGCCATCTAAGATCGCATCTGCCACGGTTTTGTCTACAGTGTATGCCGAAAGCAGCGTTGCTTTGGCTGGTGGAGCGTTGGACGCATACACATTTTCGGAATTATGTCAGTTACGTCGATACTATACACGGTCGCGTCAACAACGACCGCGGTTTTGTCGACTGTAGAAGACAGTGCGTGCGCTAGCCATACAGGTACTTACGAAGCTTCGATCATGCTGCTTTTGGCCATCGTTCGATGGTTTCGGTATCAAAGTTCACATCACCTGCCACAATTAGGAAAAGTGTTGGGAACATTAGAATTTCGGTCCAATGAATACAGTGAAATTCGGATTCAAGTATTCATACTACCATACTCTACCATACTTCACCCGAAACTTGAGTACGCCTCTTTTATATGGAACCCACACCACATGTTTCTTATCAACAAACTGGAATCTTTGCAAAATAAGGCAGCACGTTTTATTTCTGATAATTATTAACAGCAATCAAGCATCACAAAAATAAAGTATGAACTTTGTCTCACCCCCTTGCAGACTAAGAAAAATATGCCTGTTAGCTTCTTTTCCATCAGCTTTTTCATCAACCAAGTACATTCTCTCAAGTGCATATCATACTTGTCAAAAAGATTTTTCCCCGTATCAATCACAAATTTAAGGTTGAGCAACCCTTTGCACGTACTAACCTATTACAGTCTTCACGCTTACACCAAGCTATCTCAGAATAGAATCATCTCCCCAGTAACATGGTTGAAATAACTGACCACGCAGTATTTAAAAACGCTTTAAATGAAGCGTCGTTATAAAACTACATCTTAGCCTATAGGTATTAGCGACTATTCTTAACACGAAAAATGTGTATCCTAATCATGTTGTCACGATGCCTGTATATGCAAGACAAACAATGTGGGTAGAATTCTTGTATAACGAAAGAAATGCAGTACGTTGATGTCGATTGATGAGAAGTGTACAACTAGGAATTTCTATTTTGATTCACAGTTTCTTTTTTTTTTCTCACTTTATTTTGTTTCTATTGCACTTTACATGAAATGTTATGCTCCCCCTATGTAATGCCTACGTTGGGTTCCATGGGTACATAAACGAAAAAAAAAAGAATTGTGATTTTCGGGATTTTCATGACAACCATACATATGAAAGAAATGGTCGAAATGCGGGAGTCTTCAGACAATCCGGGAGACTTGGCAGGTATGCGATGTAGGCAGCATAAAGGCGAGGGAGGTCTTGCTGCAGGCATATACATAGTTTGAAGGTAAAGAAGTACTATGGGCTGCAATATGACCGAGTGTTGTATGCGACCTTTCTGCAGGTAAAGAGGGATTTTCATGACAACCATACATATGAAAGAAATGGTCGAAATGCGGGAGTCTTCGGACAATCCGGGAGACTTGGCAGGTATGCGATGTAGGCAGCATAAAGGCGAGGGAGGTCTTGCTGCAGGCATATACATAGTTTGAAGGTAAAGAAGTACTATGGGCTGCAATATGACCGAGTGTTGTATGCGACCTTTCTGCAGGTAAAGAGGCCATATGGTGTGAGGGTACCCTTGCAAGGTGTCGAATATGCACCCTGAGGGAGTTCATAGTTACGTATGTGGTAATAGGATGATCTCTAGCCATGACAGTTATTGCCGCTATAAATGCACATTTAAAAAGACCGAGGCACGTTCCTAGAGCTTGAGCTTGCAGCCGTTGAAGTACACGCAGATGAGTTTTGCAGGTGTTTCCCATCACAGGGAGACTGTATTTTACAAAGTCAAGAAACCAGGCATTGTAGAGCATTGTTGTATCCAGCGGCACCAGAACTTAAACTGGTTGGATATGAGGAGCCTGTAATTAATACTTTCTCACATGCTGCAGCAAATAATGTGTCGTGTTATGACTAACAGGCGCTAAGCCACACTTTGCAGCAATTTCTGAGTCAGTATCACTCTAAGAGTTAACGAACTAGCTTTACCTACCTGTAGCCCTTGCGCTGGCCCTGCAGCTGATACGAGGAGTCTACAAACCGGGCACATGACTCCGGCACTTCGATCTGAAAGCGGTTTTTGCCTGATCCCACGAAAGCTGCCTTACAGCGGAAGCGCTGGCTCTGCTGGGCCAGGTATTCCTGCAGGGCCTTGTTCGCTTCCTGCACACCACACATGGATACATGATAAAGTTCTGAAAAGGCTAACTGATTTCAGGCATGGCTTGCATGACAAGCACTAACTTTTTATTACACCTCTCAAATAAACAACCTGCATTTTACAAAAGACAGCAGTGATTATATTTCTAGAGTATCTCAACCCCACATGCTGATGAAGTGTCATACAGTCACTGTCCATTTTTTCAGACCCCTTAAAGAGAAAAAAGATCATTTTAAAATAAAGCAGTTAAAAAAAAAGTCATGTTCTTTTTAGATTACTGAAGCTGTCAAGTCACTCCTGCCATGTCCAATATAACTGTCAATGCCTGCCAGCATATTTATCTGGCTATGTGATGCTCACAGGGTAGTTGTAGTACCGAGTGGCTCCCCTCCTAACAGTGGTGTAACAAAATACAGTAAAACCTCGTTAATTCGAACTTGGTTATTTGGAAATCCGCTTAATTCAAAGGATTTCTGCAGTTCAGTGTTTTTCAATGTAAGTTAGAGTGGATAATTTAAAGTGGCGGCCGGCACCAGTCCCGTTATTTCAAAAACTTTGGGTGCCATATGCCAGTTCGAGATCCAGATTTTGCGGCGAATCAGCAGAAACGACGGCCATTAATTGCCACAAGGCAATGCGACATATTGATACAAATGAGTGACAGCTAAAGCACCCCAGTTTCACTACATTTAGCGCAAAAAAAAAAAGTCTCGTGTTCAACCAAAACATGCGCCTGCAAAAAACGAGCCGTGCTTCACTGCAACACAATGACACGCGGGCCGCTTATTGCATGTCTCTCGCAATGTCAGCGGGTCATGGTTTACCCACTCTTCCTGGGATTGTAAAGAAATTAATAAAGAACAGTTTAGGAGAAATTGCGATGTATGCGAACCTCCGAAGGCCGGTTGCTCCAGCAACTCGTGTCTTTGCACTGCTGGCGGAGTTCTTGACAGCAACACCTACTTCGAAAACTAAGTTCGAAAGTTTCAAAGATCATTTTTTCCAGCCAAAACACATCGTGAGCTTTATCATACTGGCCACTATTAGATTCCTATTTATAATGGAAAGAATGTGTAAATAGTCAGATTATGATGTGCTGACACAGCGAGGTAACTACTGCGTTGCAGTAAAGATGTCTTGTTTTCTGCAGATGCACATTTCAGTCGATCACGGCCGCATTTTATTATTTTTTCTTTTCGGTGGCAGCAGTGACGTCCACCATTCGTTCATGTTCACGGCAAAATGAAGACCAGGTATTGCTGGAAAACATAACCTTTGGAGCCGCAAGCTAGCCGGCACAGCAAACGACGAGCACAGATTAGTTTCAATAGTTCTAAGTTGTTTGCATGACACTTTTTGTATGTTCTTTTAATTCAAAAACCCGCTTAATTCGAAGCTTTCTTGCAGCCCCATCGACTTCGAATTAACAAGGTTTTACTGTACATGACTTTGGGAGCAGTCCAGGAAGCCTGCAAAAGTGCCTTCTGTAGCATCCAAAAAGACATTTAGGAGCAGATTAGAAACAGCCAGAAAGCCCTTTTCGATCAAGTTTGAAGCAGTCAGAATGTTCAGAGCGCATGTAGCTCTGTTTCACAGCACTTGTGAAGCAGTCCAATGTAGCATTTTTGAAACAATAATCTAAATTGTGCAATAGCCTGTATATTGCGATTAAAATTATATAAATACTTTGGCTGGTTCTTGCTGTCGTTGCCATCATTGTCATGCCTCATGTAAATTAAAAATTTACCCTCACGCATTACATTTTCTACCTGCGGGTGAAAGCGCACATGTGGGGCAATGATCGCGCCTAATGCAAGGATCAAACAAGAAAGCTTATCTCCATCGCTCAGAGGGCACATGCGGCAGCTTAATCTTACTCAGGATAACTGATGTCGAAGCAGAGAAAAAAAAATGCTGAGCATAAAAAGATAAGAATAGTAGGGGAAAGGGAGGTGCTCGAGCAGCAACTGTAAACTTTGGTTCTAAGAATGAAGCCGCGATTGCTGCCGTCTCGGCAGACATTAGCTTGCACACACTTTTACGTGTTGTGCTTTCATCGCAATGAGATTGTGGGAAAAGAGCATTTCTCTAATAATACCTTTGTTTGGGAAAGATTATCCGTCATTAGAGTAAACTTGAAAAGCGCAAATGACGGAGACAAAACACATACAACAGGACTGGTGCTTAACCCTTTGTGCGACAAAGGGACATATGGGTCCCACTTTTCCGTTTGCAGAAAGAATTTTCTCCCACACCACGCGCTGCAATTAGCACAACGTAATGTCAATCATATTATACCTAAGTCGTTGTGATCTCAAGTAAAATATTTTACCACGCTTTTGAAGGGCGGATGTGGTGTTACAATGATGTTGAAATTCAATCAATCACGAAAGCTTCCGAATTTTCCCCTTCTTGAGATATATAGAACCTAACGATCAAAACGCCTGTAAATTTCCTTTTAAAATGCGAAGCATTTCTTAGCGAACTTCGGCGACTTTGGGCGTATCTATCTATCTAGCCGCCTAAGACCTTTAGCTCTCCTTGCCGTTTCGATAATGCTATCGAGACCAAACTTGGTATGGCATAACATGACTGTATGAAGAACATATCTGACTAGTCATAACATGAAAATCATGACATGTATGTCATGAATGTCATGGTTTACATTTCATGGTCCTGCAGCTCTTGTGGTGGTTTCATTCGCATACAATGTTGCAAAACTGGTATGATATGACATGATTGCATGGTGAACACAAGGGACAGACCCTAACATGAATATCATGAGATGCGTGTCATGTAACATGACTACAAGCCATGCTCATAATGCACTCGTGGTCATTTCGCTAGCGTTATATGTACCAAATTTGGTATTACGGTACATGAATGACTGACAAAGGTATGTGACTGGTGCAAGCATGATAAACATAAGTTGCGTGTCAAGTAACAACATGACTACATGCCAAACTCATGATGCGCTCGCGGCCCTTTCACTAGCTTCACATGTACCAAACTCGGTATTACACGACGCGAACGGACGACATAGGAAAATGACACATCCAAATATGATAATCACGACAAGCATGTCCTGTAAGAACCTACATGCCAAACTGATGATGCGCTCGCGGCCGTTTCCCTAGCTTCACATATGCCAAATTTGGTATTACGTGACGCCAATAGATGACGAAGGTATGTGACTGGTGCAAACATGACAATCATGAGATGCGTGTCTTGTGAGAAAATAGCTACATGTCACAGTCAAGGCGGCAATAAATTTCGACGTTACCTGGCACGCGTTCTCGCCGGCGTTGATTCCGTCACGTCATGCCAGCATTGTCACGCCAGGCGCCGGTCCTGCCATATACTCGCAGGCGTACGCCGCGCTGCGTTACTTTGATGCATGTGCGTTACAGTACGTCCGGTGTCCCTCCGTCACAAAAAAAGGGAGAGGCAGTGTTGTCTGAACAATGCATTGGGGCGAAATCCGGTCGCCGTCGGGCCGGGCCGACGGACGCTGGTCGTGCCTGGCTTCAGAGTGCTCGCGTTTTGCTAACGTAGTGTCGCTGTGCCCAGTGTGCGCGCACATCAACGCTACATAGGAGTATATTGGGCCCTTCATGATGCACTCGCGGCCATTTTGCTAGCTCCACATATACCAACTTTGGTGTTATGTGACGTCAATGGATGACGAAAGTATACGACTGGTGCAAACATGATAATCTTCACACGCATGTCATGCAAGAACATGACAACATATCATGCTCATAGCGTGCTCGCGGCCATCTCGCTATCTCCACATAAATTTGGTATCACATGATGTGAATAGATGAAGGTAAACGACACATCCAAACATGATAATCATGACACGGAAGTCATGTACGGCATCATTTACCTCCACCTCGTAACATTGTGCTGATTTTAAAGAGACATATGCTACGCTTATTATCGATTCCCACTGTACGTGGGATCTGCCAATTTTTTTTTCCCTGCTTTCTGAAAGAGGTGATGCCATCGCATGCCATCGCTTCCTGCCATCGCATATTTTGTTAGCTTGTGTGATAACTTGACCGACAAATGCATCGGAACAATCCACTATGAAATCGTCCTGCTCAACCCTCAACACAATGCCGAATAATGATGGGTAGAAATAATTTTCTTGATGTCATATACCTCTTAAACTAGGCACATGTTCAGGGACAACATCTCTACTTGAGAATTTCGGCAGCTAAAGCAAAAAAATAGCCATGAAGCAAAAAAGAGGGGTTGATGTATGCAGTGAAGTAGGCTTTACAGAAACAAACCGCAGAATTTTCAAGACACATATCAAACGCAAGTGCAGGTGGTGTTGTTCGCACAACTATCCTCTTCACAGCTTGAGAAGTGATATGCAGTGCCACTTGCTTTGGCCACTTCCTCTCAAAATACCCACTGATTAGACTTGTGCTAATAGTCAATTTTAGGTTCGAAGCGAATAGTGATTTTGGTAGAATAATTTTGAATCGAATTTGAATGGTATATATATGTCACTAAAGAACGGATTATAGGCAAATGCCTATTTGGCTCCTTGCATTCCTATCCTGCCATTTGAATATATTGCCACATTGAATGTGCAGCACCAAGAGAACAACGAAGAACACGGGCAGCGAGAGAAGACGAGGTTCTTTTCCGATCAGTTTGCCAGTGTTCTGGTACAATTAAAGTGAGTTTCCTGTATTCGACTGCTGCTGTTTCTGCATTGTGACACTGGTGGAGGCGCTGGGTACATGTTCGGGACGCCTGACAACAGCCCCGCATCTAGTCCAGAAAGACTTCCGCGCAACGACACCCCCGTTCACCGCAGCAGCCGGCTCCTGTTAGGCCTCAGCCCGGAGTTTGGTCCATTGCCGGAAACCGTGACTGTGCCAGAAAGCATGACGGCGCCTGGAAGCACTGGCCCCAACATGTCCAGCCCAAGCACGACACAGGTGACTGTTTTGAACCCTCGACTTCCAGTTGACTTCCACAG